TTAAAAATAGCATTCTATAATATCAAGTCACGCTCGACATAAAAGTGGTAAGGGTTAAATATTAACATGCTCCCTTTTAGAATTGGTGTATAATATAAGTGTCATATAAAATGTAAAAAATTTGTAAATATCCTTCCTTGGCGCACAGACATATACACACACATAGAGAGAGAGAGAGAGAGAGAGAGAGAGAGAGAGAGAGAGAGAAAGAGTGAGAGAGACTCATTCTCCCGATAATTATGTCGTTGTAAAGAACGAGCATGGTTATAGTTACGTGCTAGAAATAAACAATAGGAAATAATTGCGTGATAATTTTCCATAGAATTTAATGCTTGAAAAAAACTTATACGAGAAAGAAAAAAGTGTTAAGAATTCAAGATTAAAATAGTATTACATTATTTAATCGAAATTTAAATTTCGTACGTGATTTTAACCACCAACTTCCCCTGGTTAGAACTCTTCTAAAATTCTAATAATTATCACGAGGAAATATGGTTTGTCGAATCGTCGTAAACGTAAACGAGGGAATTCCTATGAGATACGTAGTATCTCGTATGTTCTCTATTTTTGTTCTATTCAATTTATTATTCATTTCCTTGGCGCATGATAAAACTTTTCCAGGAAGATAAAAGTCAAAAATTATCATACCTATTCTATTCTACTTTTAAATAGACAGGAAATTATTCAGCGCGACATTAAATTTATCTATAAATATATAAAACATCTTTGAATGCAGATAAATTCTATAATCAGGACTTTCCAATGAAACTCTGTCAACTTTTATAAGTATAATTATATTTTATAAATAATAAATTATACACCAAATATTATTATACATAATAGATTTATAATTGTTTTTTTATAGAATAGAAAATTTAAAAAGTCCAGAAGTAACTGTTACATCAGAACCAATTGAACATTATAACAATTTCATTCAAACCTTTTACTTAAATAATTTTGAAAAAATAATTAAATATGCGTTAAGCATGAAATTTAATATATTAAAAAATATGATCCAAGAACATAACTAGCATGTATCAAAATAATCTAATGTAAGGGACAAGAGTAATGAATGTGTAACTCGAGGCAAAATTATCAAGCATGATACCATAAGAAGACGTATCCGTTCTGACTCATCAATCTCGAGATACCTTATATATTTCTACAGGAGATCCATCGAGAGAGGATTCTCAGTACTTAAATCCATTTGTTGCTCTCGTTGAAATTCTACTTGGTCAAAGATTTCAAAGAAGAAGAAGAAAAAGGAAAAGAAAGATTCAATGGTCTCGGTAGGCTGGTTTCGTAGAACAAAATTATCGGTTGGCCAGTTTGTGTGTGATAAATGCATTTCCTGTTGCCATTCTGATTACAAAATCAACCAAAATTTCTTGAATAATTTTTCAAATCAATTACTTTTAGTCAATTATTAAACAAGTCTAATTAAATGTTTTAACGAGTCTCAAAAGTATTAATTGATTTTTTTAAATCATCCAGGAACTTTAGGTCTCACTATGTAAGATATTCTCAATTAAGAAAAATAAAAAAAACAAAAAAAAATCAATTAAAGCATACACGTATATAAGAACGTAGATAGGAAGAATTAATTACAAGTACAGGAACGTAATAAGAATTTCAAGCGTGGGAAGCAGCAACAAACCGACAAAGCGTAGTACAGTGTATGTGCATACGTACTTGCATTAGCCTAAGTCTTAATCATAAAGCTATATATCTGCTTATATAGTATACGTGAGAATGAGATAAAGGAAAGTAGGTATTGTCGGTCTGAGAAAGAGACTGAACTTCCTTCTATAAAAATTTGTTCGAAATACATTAACACGAGGAAGTTAAAGAAAAAATTTAAAATAGAGTAATAATCGAAACCTGTGATCGAGTGGAACAAAAAATATCTACATTATTATGTAGATAAAGAGAAAATTTGCGCAAGCATATTATTTTTCGTGGTCGATCACGTACTCAATTTACTATTCCAGTAACGTACCTACAATTGCATAATAAATGTGTCACAACACGTTCGCGCAATGGAGAACAGTATCGTTATTACGGTATCGCTTTCCTTTTTTTATTTTCTTTTTTAGAAAGCTTCTACAAAGATTATTCTACAAAAATTTGTGTCTTTTTGGTTTTTGTTTTAAATATCTTTATAAATAATATAATAAAAATAAAAAATAATAATATAATGATGATAGTAATGCTTCCTTTTTTTTTTATTTTACTATCTGAAATAAATCATTCCATAATATTATTTTAAAATACTACCGGCCATAAAACGATCCTTTTCTATTATGAAAAACGTTTCTTATTATTAGCTGTATTAATTTCACGCTCGTAAAGCTATGAAAACAGTTCTGTTCGATATCTCACGGTGAATTAAGAACAAACTGCTTGTAACGTAAAACCTTTTCCTCGGGGAGGAATAATAAATAAAATATATAAACTTCCTATGTTTGCAACTCAAAAATGCAATCATGGATGAAATATTAGATCAAAATATATATCCAATAATATTTAAAAAAAAAAAAAAAAAATAACATTTAACGTATGTTTCCTACCTTATTTTGTTAGATGAAAATTTCATCGAGGATAATCTTTTAAGGGATTATGGTTAAACATAGCACACAACAAAAGTGCATAAATACTCTCGTGCCCCCAACTTCGAGATTAACAACCGACCAACGGTACGATTTCGAAGAAAGAAAAGAATGGCACGTGCCAACGCAAAGTTCGAACGCTTAGGGGGTCCCATAGCACGTTTTAAAGAGTCCAACAAAAATAACTTCACCCTACTCAAAGCGTATAAAAGAAAATCTAAAACTGAAGTTATACTAACGTCGAGTATATATAATCCTTGTTGTTTTCTGTTCTTTTACTAAGAGATTCGCATGAACGAACATTATAACGATGAGTTAGTAGTAAGTACCCATGAGAAGAAACAGAGAAAAGGATCATTCCTGTACCATAGTGTTTACACGAAATAATTTCCCTTTAAGAGTTAACTTATGCTAGGAATATTTTTCATACCGACTTGTTTAAAAGTTCATAAATCATTTTAAAGATCAATTACTCCTTATCGAGATTTTTTAGGCATCTGCATAATAGTAGTAAATAGAAAAATATATTTAAAAAATAAACAAAAAGCAAAGGTAATTGCTTTGAAAAATTCACATTAAAACTTGTGATCAACCCTGTAGCATAAAAGATTTTTATTATTACGTCCCAAGTCTAACATTTGACGGATGTCGGAAGGGGTTGCGTTCACACCGGTAACACGATCAATAAGATAATTGAGAAGACTTTCTCGACAATGCCGGCGGAAGGGAGTAATTTCGTCATCTCCCTTCTAAGTACATACTCTTGCGCAAGGTCATTGTTTTAGATGGGATTCTCGGATCGTAAACTAAAGTATCATTGAGTAAAAACTATCTTCATTGTTAAATTTACCTCTTATATTGGACAACGAAAGCGAATAAAATAACAAATTTAATTTTTAACTACGATTAAAAAAACATTAAAACTTTTATCGTATTGAATAATAATTATTATAGAAAAATAATACATTAATACTCGTTCGTAATGAAACTAAACCCGAGTAAAATTATTGAAGCTAAAAGCACAAAAGTCAAACCATATCAATGATAAAATCAGAAATAATTTTCTCTCTTTATGCAGATTATAAATACCTAATTAAACACGTACAGGCACCCACGCATACACACTAGTAAAATATCGTTCATATATATTACATAGAACAAACAATAGGAACACTTAATCGAGAAAACAGCACGTAGCTCGAACAAACGAAGTACTTTAGCTCTAATTAAAACGATTGCATTATATTTTATCGAACGTATTTAATAAACAAAGAAAGAAAAAAAAAAAAAAAGAAAGAGAAAAGAAATGATTGATCGATCGATCAAATATTCGTGATCGGTGATCTAGAACGAAAATATATATAACGATATATATGCGACGTTAAAAGTAAAAATAAATTACAAACTGCGAAAGATCTTTAAACGTAACATCAAACATGCCTCATACAGGTGCGTAAATAAAACGATATTTTATATTCGAATATTTTGTTATTAAATAGACTCATCCTGATGTAAATCAAATTTGTCTCAATACATTTAAAAATAATATTATTTCAAAATAGATGATCGATAGATCGAATCATCGTTGCATATTCGATTGGACATAATAAACTTCGTTGGTATCGACTACTGCATAATTCTACTACAAGAATCAAGCTTCATATGTATATACGCATATAGAAAGGAAACGTTTGAAATTGTCCACTCACTCTCCCTGTATCGGCAATTCCAAGGATACGAATATAAGATATGGTTTAACGAAAAGGCACTTACATATTGTATCGCATTCGCGATATATTCTTAACTGCAAACGTATGCTACTAACACGGTATCGAATTACTTATCGTCCTTCCTTCGAGAATCAAATGCATGTGCATAGTCGTAAATAAATATTAGATTCGAAATTTCTTATGAATTTAAATTAAACATAACTCGCTATAACATAATTTAAAATAGTAATGATTACAATAATCTATAAATGAAAATGTTAAATAAAAAATTAATATATTAACGAGATAATAATTAAAAGAAAGAAAAAAAAAGAATAACAAATAGATTATGCAGGGCGCACAGTGATTACATTTGATTAAAAATTTCAAACGAAAGTATGTAAGATAGAAAAAAAAAAGAGAGAGAAGACATTGGGGCGGGTGTGACACCTAACGTGGTACTTCCACGAGGGTGGGTTTTCATAAGAACACGCTGATAAAACCGGCGATCGATAAAACACCGCCGAGCCACGCCGTTTTATCCCGTCGACTTTGTATATTAATGTAACTGTGTAAATACCTTATCCTGTGTTGAAAATATGCAAAAATAAAAATTGTAACATAGGATAAAGTAAAAGGAAGGAAACAAAGAGACAAGTAAATGGTTAGATGAATGACTTACAGCTTGAAATTGTTCAAGGAGTTCCTGTCGGTCGTCGATCGCGGTGGCCATGTTGCCCGAATATATGTATAATCCTTCCGCCTTTCCTTTCTCTTCTCTATTAGCTCGATATATGTATCCCTCCTCTTTCCTTCCACTTTCTCCCTTCTACCTTTTTCTATAATATATCTGTTCGTCGTGTCTGACAATAGTAACGAGAATGACACGACTATGTATCCTTTCACGTTAATAATTATACGAAGGATCTAACTAACGCCTTTAATTTAGATACAACACATATGATTTTATATAATATATATATATATATATATATATATATACGTATATATCGAAATATAAACAAAAGGACCTTGAAACTAATCCTACCGGAACGGAGTCGCGACGAAGACTGAGAATGCCGCTGCCGCTGCCGTTGCGATGACCGGCGCGCGCCACTCATCCGAACTCCCTCGAAATTTACCGAATACTTCCGAAGTTCCTCCCTAATGCCTCCCAGGGCCATTTTTCACATATCAAATAACCGTCAGAAAAATTCTATTCCAACTTGTGCCAGACGTTTCCTCTATCACCTTCCAAACTTTTTGTTACTATCTCTAAATGCTAACCGTTCCTGACAAAGTCCCAAAAAATCTACCAATCTTTTTACTTTTTAGTTCTTTTTCACTTCGTTCCCTATACTTCGTTTAAATTTCCCGCCTAAATAGAAAAAATTTTTATTTGAAAATCGGAACGTTTCTACGATTGTTTATACAGAACTTCTTGTTGGGTTGATTTGAAATAGGGAAAAAAGAGATGTCAGAATCGTTGAGAAGAAAGAAAGGAATGTCTTTATAAACGTGTCATACGTTTTTTTACAGTTTTTTTCTTTGACTCACGATCAAGCGAAGTTATTTGTTACAAATCCGCCATAAAGTGGGTCAACGACCTCCCAAAATGAAAGACTTGACTGAAAGATTTCTACTATTATTCTTTTTCATTTTAAAATATGGATTTTTTCGGTAAGTATTAAAGATAAAATGTTTGTACGATGAAAAAACATTCGACCAATATGACAAAGAAATGTGTTAATCGATTAGTTATAAATGCAAATTGCATTGTAAAACAACGATTGCGACTCATTGCGAACGATAATTCGAAGATCTCGCTTCAAACGAAATCCCCACAAAGATGATTCATTTTTCTATTACGAAGCAACGACAAATGTCGTACATAAATCCATGTGTATATATATATATATATATATATATATGCATTCGTGTACTAGCTACATATGTAAATCAGAAAAAATCCGAAGCTGACTCAGTCGAGAGATTCAATTCCTATTCATTTACACTCTGATATGCGTCACTCAATTTATATCGTTAAATGAAAATGATTTACGCATCAAAACTCATTTCTAATGCTTTGTTTTTCATAAATTGACAATTTTCTCTCTCTATATATATATCGTAGAAATAATATCATTTCACAGAATTTGAGAAGTGAGTTTTATAAAAATTCCATGTCGCAATCTTCAAGGGTCGTTGACCCCTGCTTCAATAATTTACATTAAAACTGGATTCTACCACGTTGTTTTACACGTTTGTAATTTTGTGTTGATGCGTTCAAAATTCAAAAAGTGTTATATACTTATATATACATATATTAGTATCATAAAGATTATAGTATCTTATTTATATTATCTCAAAGTCTTACGTTTTTTTTTTTCGGAAATTCCACTTGCATCTTCGGGGGTCATTGATCTTCCTTCAAAATTTTTGTGTGATGTTTCATTTCTTCCAAAAAGAAAAAAAATACATTTTTTTTAAATTCCATTTCAAATTCCATGCACAATTTTCAATATTTTTATGAATTATTTTTCTTTTAAATTATTGTCTATTAATGCCATTGAATTAAACAATTAATGATAAAAAAATACGATATTATTGGTAGTAATAAATAAAACGATTATTGACTATAACAATTTTCTCTTTCTCTCTCTTTCTGAATAATATTTAAATATTTATTTTCAATCTCACTATCGCAATATTTCTATGAGGAAACATGAAAGTAATAGAAATGTGTATTCTTTGGTACGAACGTGCACACATTTACTTTAATGCATTTCTTCATACATATATGTTTATGTTTTTTCCTTTTCTAAATTAATATTCTTCTTCATTTTTCGTCAGAAAAATCAATGCGATATAATACTTAATAAATAAATGATATCTTTAAACGACCTACCTAACAATTAACTTACAATTATTTATCGTCTCATAAATATGTATGTATTAATTTATTAGTAGTCGTGTCTACGATTAGTCCATGCTTTATGGGAAATTTTCTGAGAGGGAAATCATGACTAATGCAAATAATAATACTTCTAATAACAGTTAATAGTAACAAGAATGATTTTCAACTAAAAAGATATCCCTAATAATAAGAATGTTATAAAGAATTATAATTAAAAGAAAAAAAAATAAATAATTTTAATTAATAATATCTTTTCTATCAATCGTCTAAGATCCCTAAACTTTCGAGTTAGAATAAAAATCGGTTTTGTGCGCGTGTCGACAAAATTCGACTTCGATTGAATCATTAGATCATTTCTACTAACATTTTCGAAAAGGCACAGACACTTGCCTCGTTTATATACACAAAAACCAAAAAATAAAAAATACAATTAAAATATGTATAATACACTTAATTTTTAACGTGTGTTAATACGAAATTTTTCATAGATCACCAAATGTAATTTAAAATTTTAAACACCGATTTCATTCATAATAATATAAATCGCTATAGTTAGAAATCCACAGTGCTTCAAATCCAACATTATTTCCCACGATGATCTATGTAGATTTATACAAATAGATCATCGTTTAGGCTAAATCTCTCGTATCTGTACAAAAATATATATGTACGCAAATGTTTTGAGTATTACTCTTCTTCATTTTCCTTTTTATTTTATTTATTTGTATTCATTATTTCACAGCCTGTTTTAAATGAATCGTAGCATACGTTGATCGTAGACGACGAACGAAGATCTATATATCTATCTATCTATTTCTCTCTCTCTCTCTCTTTCTCTTTTATATATATTTCACTGAAAAATTGTATCGAACATAAATTATATCTTTTATATAATTATATCTTTTCTATATCATTCGTATAACGTCGTCAACGATTTACTTATGCTTCATATGTAGATATTTAAAACACACTGTGTTTAGCGCCGCTATACTAATCGACTAACAATAATAATAGTAATAATAATAATATTAATCATAATAATAATAAATGACACTCTTAAGAGTTAAGTCCATGTGAAAACTGAAATTTAAAATCTATTTTCTATTTCTTCCATTGTATATATAGTAGTTGTAGTGTAGTAATTGTAGTTGTAATAATTCCAGTTGTTATAGTTGCAGTTTTAGTTGATACCTTTTGTTCATTTCCTTAACAATTACGTCATTGTACAAAGTTTTATGCGTCGATTCGCATCGGACGCATTTACGCGAGTACTTACAATCTAAGATAAAAGTATTTCTCTCTAGTTTTTATTTTATATAATATATATTTTCATTTTTTTTTATTTCTTTTCTTTTTTTTTTCTTCTTTTATTTATACATTGTAAACTGCATTCCGTTTACGAGTATAACCAGACTATAAGAAAATGATTAGAAAACAAGAATTACTTTTTAAACATACACGTATGAACGATCGAAGAATCATTTCTCACATTAAAGTAAATAAATGTTTTTTTATTAATATTAATAATTAAAAGAAAAAGAAAAATATAAAGAATAGTTATCCTATAATAATTCATAAAGTCCAGACAGAAAAATTCATATACATTAATAATTAACATTATAAGTCTAAATTCGTATCTTCAGATGTTTCAAAACTTATTTTTTAGCAAAATAAAAAAACATACATAACAATAATAGTAATAATAATAGTTAACTAAGTAACCAAATATCGTAATTAAGTATCTAAGAAAAATAAATAAGACGTCGCGTAATATAAGTTGAAAAATTCACAAGAAATAAAATTTTACAAAAAAAGATTAAAGAAAATAATAAAAAACAGAAAAAAAAGAACTAAGTAACTAAGGGTTACGGGGTTTGGAAGGATGTTGGTTGGGACTGTAAGAGAGGTAATACGAAACCATAATATCTCGATTAGTAGCTATTTCGTAGAAGGCAGAGTAAACATACATGCTTATCTTCAATGTTGCATGTAAATCTTGTCTCTTTTATACAAACTGTGTGTGTATATTTATATTCTATGGATAATTATCATCAACCTAACATATAATTATTTCTATGTATATATATATATATAT